CACTTCAAACTACCATCACCCCTCACTGGCAGTTGCTTTCTGACTTCAAACTACCATCACCCCACCGTAAACCGGCAGTTGACTTCTGACTTCAAACTACTATGGTCCGACTATAGTTGACTTCTGACTTCAAACTATCATCACCCCACTGCACTGGTCCATATTCGACTACTTCCACAGTACTCACCTCATCTTTTTCACTCTACCTTTGTGTCTCCATATTCGACTACTTCCACAGTACTCACCTCACCTTTTTCTATTTTTGTGTCTATCTCTTTTAAATCTGTGAAACTCTCTCCTGTTCCCCCTCTCCCTCTCGATCTTTTTTCCACTTTGATGTTCCTTCTCCTCTGTGAAGCCTGAAGTCAACTAAAGGGATAATGATAACTTCCACAACGCCTGCCATTTGATATAAATAATTTTCTAATTATACCGCATTGAAGTCAAGAGGTTAGAGTTGTTGTATACTAACCAAATAGTTAATCCCGAAAAGAGAAATATACCGAGATATTACAACCCACTTTGCTACTCGATCCACTCCCATCTTGAAGACCGAAGTTTGAAGTCTTATAGTGGGAAGCAAGAAAAAGAATTGAATAGAAGAGAAACAAAGTTGAATACCTATTTCAACTCTGTTCTTTTGTTCATTTATACTCTTTCATATCGTTTTCATCTACCTCTAGGATACTTTACTATTTCTCTTGTTCATATGGTCAAAATTATAAGTGCACTCATCCAGGCACAAGTTAATAAGAGTAAGCTTTCTTAACGAAGAAAAACAATAGGAAAAAGAGAAGTATTTCCTTTAATGTGAAGAGTAAAGGCGAAGTACGTTGAGCATTACCTGAATCTGTCGGGAGCATGGACATCAACCATTACTGTGTGTAGGGCGGCTTGAGGCAATTGTCGTTTGCACCACACCTGGAATAAAGGACAGTGGGTCAAAGCATTATTAGACACACGCACGCACAAATCGTCTCATCCCAAAAAGATTTTCTTTCCATGTAGTTCATAGAAGGATCCAAGCAGCTGCACTACCCACTTTCCCTATTTCTACTCACCTTTTGTAGCTTTTAGTGGGAGCTTGGTTCTCAAGCTTATTACTTAAACCTAGCTTCAATTTAAGGGGTGTGTGATAGACTTACCTCTACGTGGTGCAACCTGGGCAACGTATACACGGCAAAAGAGTCCGGGTGCACCCTGGGCAACGTATACTCATACAGCAAAAATGTGGTGCAACCTGGGCAACGTATACTCATACGGCAAAAAAGTCCATTAATCGGTGGGCAACGTATACTCATACGGCAAAAAAAGTCTATTAACCGGCAGTTGTCTCCTGACTTCAAATTATAATGACCCTACTGTATGACATATTCGACCACTTCCACAGTACTACATCACATTTTTTCTAAATTTTCAACCTTCGTCTTTGAAACACTCTTCAGTTCCCCTCCTCCCGACTTTTTTTCACTTTGATGTTCCTTCCCCTCTGTGAAGCCTGAAGTCAACTAAAGGGCTAATGATAGCCATCAAAACGCCTGCCACCTGATATGAATGAGTTTTAATTTTTACTTCTCTGGAATGTTTATTCGCCTATTCTAATAATATAAAGTAGGCGATTACTGTGATTGCGTACCTAGCTTTCAGAATTAGGGGTTATTTTAGGAGATCTCTTGAAATTATAAGATTCAAGGCATAATTATAAAAGCTCTTGTCAAGATGACAATGACTAGTTGTCAACTGCACCCTCGTAGGGGTGATCAACATGCCCATCCATGGGCATACATACAACAATGTGGGTGCCGAATCACACTGATTAATTGGACAAGTGATAGAGGTTCCAGTTTTCCCTACCCTCAACCCTATTTGAGGGTTGCGAGCACTTAATCTAACGGGTTCCGTAAGCATTTTATTGTTCATTGGCGTTCATTTTAGTTAAATTAAAGGTGATTAATTTCGGAAATAAGGTAACAACCGAATTTCAAAATTAAACTAATTTTGACTCAATACACAGCTTTTACTTTAATAAAACCATCTCATTTGCATTTACAAAACAAATCAATTTAACATGACCATTGACAAATTAGCATCTTGCTATCTTGACAATTATAAGAGAATATCTCGTCAGTTTGTGCCAACTAAGAAGTTAAATTGCCGTAATCACCAGTACCCAAATTGTTAGACTTAGCCAATTCACAAGAGGAATGAAGTTTGTCAAAAAATATACAAATAAGCGTAAATCAGCACTCTTTAAAATCTAAAGTCCATTCCAATTGTTGTGCGCTTTCATTGAAAACCAAAATGTAAACATAGGCTCTCGAAAAACCTGAGGAGGAGGGCCGTATGTGAATTGATGCATAGGTCTATGCTACTGTCAGGAAAATTGTTTCGTAAATTAACTTAAAAAATATTGGGACTTGTTGAACAACCGTGATAGCGTCAAAAACAGCTGATGTAACTTATTTCCTCGTCCCCAACCCAATTTGGCAAAGTAAAAAGGAGACTATTTAGAAACCACTGGACTAATTGTCAAGGCACTCGAAGGCAAATATATATCATTAACTTCCTTCAAAATCTTATTGCAAAATTTAATTTTTAGCACATTTGTGAAAGTAGATGAATATATTAAATGATTGCCTTCGGGTATGTGTGTCTTCAATTTACAGCGATGTTGACTTAATTTATGCTGAGTTCATAATTAACATAAAATTAAAATACATTTGTTATTCAAGAGAAGGCTTTCATTGACTCACTTGAGCGAACGAAATGAAGAAGAGTTGATTGAAAGTTAAATTTAATCCTGCCAATTTCCTCAAGGAACCCTCCTTTTCTTGCAATTTTAAGTAGGCCTAAAAGTGCCAAAATGTAACTTAAAACATTCACAGACAATTGAGATTCACGGTAAAGGTTGAATCGTACCCTATATGCAGCCTTTATTCCACCATTGTCGGCGATGTTTTCGCTTAGAGTCAGCTGTCCATCAATCTAAATGTGGGAAATCGGTGAAGTAGCTGTTGCAGAAACCGGGGGGAGATAGAGGGTGAAGTAAGCCCAATTAACCTACATTCTTTCCAAGGACAGTGTAATTGCCGTATTGTCGAACCAAACATTCGCTGTTTTTCTCGAAATCAACCCGCGTGCTTTCACTCCACCACTGACGCAAATTCCCCTTGGCATCGAATTTGGATCCTGAAGCGCAAGAAGATAAGAGAAGAGCTTTGCATAAAAGGGAAGACCATAAAAGCGCATTGAATTCAAACACTCACCCTGTCTATCAAATGCATGAGCGATTTCATGGCCAACGACAACGCCTATTCCGCCATAATTTAAAGCTAATGGGAAGTTTGCATCGTAGAACGGTTTTTGTAGAATTCCAGCGGGGAAGTAAATATGATTTTCTCGAGGATTGTAATAGGCATTAACAATATGTGGCGCCATGTCCCACCTAGTAAAACAAATAGGTGATCCGTAATTTGGAAAGAATACAAGTAATGCTAGTGTACCAAACTAATAGGGCGAAATTGAGCATGAAATCACAATGCAGATCTAGTTGATTCAACCAACCGCAGAATCAGCTCAACTAGTAAAGCATTTTTTGGTTATTGTGGACGCTATCCCACCTGTAAATCCGGAAATATTTCAGGGAACGAAAAGCTCGATGTTCCCCGTTAGCTCACATTTTACTTCAGGGATCTCCTTTGGAATTCCTAATAAAAAATGCTATCGCATGAATGACGATTTTGGAGCTTTGTTTTGAAGCGTGCTTACGTCAGTCTATCCCAAATAGAAAAATGAGTAAGGCCAGTTCAAAGCACTTTTATCAGTATTTAGAAGTTCTGCCCTGAAGTGACAGGGATATGAACTAGTTTAATTAGGCTCCTCAAGGCCCTACTTCCGGCATTAAACCAACAATTCAAATAAATCAGTTGGTGGACAACAGCTGAATATAACGAGGATTAACACCCAAAGGCGTCTAGTGAACGAACAGCGAAAGTAGCTCCTTATGAGAAACTAGACAATTTGCTTCTTCCAAGACTTGACAAAATTGAGATCCTTTAAAATTTTCACTTCTTCTAGGTCATCAATATTATTCCTTTTTTCGTCAGTATTTATCATTAGTACCCACAATAATACAAAGTAATTAACAATTTTTAATGTTGGGAGCCATTGACTCCTAAAGTCTGTTATTCCGACAAATAATAAAAGGAGATTGACTTGCACTCGAGTTACGCAATATTTGCCAAATAGACAGTTCACATTCCACACTTCCAAATCTCTTAATTCGTTTCCTGGATTGCAGCAAATGCTTGTCGATGATGTTCAGCTGTTATTGACCGGCGCCATTTAATTTAATTTCAATATTCTTTCAATAGGTGTTAGGACAAACGATCTTTAAAGATATTTCACTTCTTTCAACTCCTTTCTATAGGTTTTATTTGCATTGTTGTAGTCCCTTGATTAAATATTGAAAGACATTTATGTCTTCCATTTAAGGGGTATGCGGTAGACTTACCTCCACGTGGTGCACCCTGGGCAACATATACTCGTACAGCAAAAAAGTCTATTATTCGGCAGTTGACTTCTGACTTCCTACTACAATGGCCCCACTCTTTGTCATATTCGACTACTCCCACAATACTCACCTCACCTTTTTATCTACTTTTGTGTCTGTCTTTTACATCTTTGAAATCCTCTTCTCTTTCTCCCTCATAAATTTTTCTCACT